TGGCTTTGGTGGCTGTCTGCTTGTCCCCATCTATTTAACTGCATTCATGTGCCAAAGCTACCTGGTGGCCTGATGACGAAATGTCCTGTTCGATTCCTCAGCTGGAGCTCTTGGTTCCCCGGCTGTTGTAGTCAGAGGCCTCACTCTCTCCTGGTGCCAGGAGCCAATGTCCAGCCTTTGGGCGCTAGCCCCACAGCAAGCCTTTCTTTCTCTCAGACTTGCTGAGATGCGCATACTGAAATATCTCGCAATAAAATCAAGCAACACCCCATCCAGTCCTCACATTGAAAAGCTGGAGCACTGTTCTGGCTTATCAACAGCTAGCATGATGGCCTGGTCGATAAAGGTATAAGCCTGATCACCTGGCTTTGATCCCCAAACCTATGTAAATAATGACAAGAGAGAATCCGCCACACAAAGTTGTCCTCTGACAGTCATATGCATGCCCTGGCATAAATGCACGCATGGACACATTTTACATGTGTGTGTCCCCACGTGTGTAGATACCCACAGAGGCAAAAGAAGGCGTCAGGTCCCCCAAAGTAGAATCACAGTAAGCCTCCTGATCTGATACTGGGACGTTGGGTCCTCGGCAGGAGCAGCCACACCTTTACACTGAACTGTCTTTTCAGAACCATAAGTAAAGTGTGGAACTTGCAGATACAAGTACAAGGCAGCCGTCACATCGACGGATTTCTTATTTAGCCATTTGCAGGCTGGTCTGCCCAGCACTGTCCTAGACATGAAGAGATTTCAGGTAAACAAGAGGACAGTTGTCTGTGCCGAGGAGTCTCTCCCTGCTTAGACGGGCGTGCACATCATCCTGAGGGGATGAGTACATGGAGGATGGAGGAAAGGGTATTGACATAATGCAGGGTCAAGAGGTCCCAGCCATTCAAATCCTGAAGACGAGGCTCTTTGTAGAAGTTGATCGGCAGCCTTGTCCTTGGCCCAGCATGAAGCCGGACCCTGCTGCTGTCCATGGTGCCCCTGGCAGACGCCCAGCTCCTCTGGCCCTTTAAGCTCAGGATTCAGGATCTGAACCCCGTCCCTCAGAGTTGTTGCTCTGGACTAGTGGTGGTCCCCCAAACTCAGGCTGTGACTTTGTTGGTGGAACTATCTGGAGTTGATTGAGGTTAACAGAGTTCACCAGGGGCTCCTCATCTGACAGGACTGAGAAAAGCATACTCTCTCTCCTCTTTCTTTGTGTCTTTTGTCTCTTTCCACCACCACCCCTACACACACACACACACACACACACACATACACACACACACACACACACACACACACACACACAGCAAGCAGGTGGCTGTTGGGGGTTGTTCTGGTGTGCTGTGTACTCAGATGAGATGCTGAAGTCTGTGGCCTGAACTGGTTGTAGTTTGGATGTAGGCATTGTCACAGTCATTGATCAATGTTGTGTAAACTTTGTTCACCAATTATCTCTGATTGGTAATAAAACTGCTGCTCAGCCTATAGCTGAGCGAGAAAGGACAGGAGGCAGGACTTCCATTGCCAGTCTTGGGTCTAAGGTAGGGACCATGAGGTGGGGAGGAGAAGGAGGAGAAGGAGAAAGAAGAGATAGAGAGGGCATGTGATCAGGAGGGCTGACCCAAGAACAGAAGCAGCCCAGGCAGGACCAATAGGGCAAGTAATTCGTGGTGTGTGGCTGAGAAACAGCAAAGCCAGCACAGACAGGTTAGAGTAGATTATTATCTGCCCAGTTAGGGTGCTTAATGCTTATTAATAAATCTTATAAGTCTCCATGTCTTTTATTTGGGAGGTACAGTTGGTGATTAGAAAAGGCCTCCCAAATGATAACTTATCCAGCAGGTGGCTGTCTACAAGCCCCAAGGAGGCCCTTGATCTTGGACTTGCACCCTCCCTCCACACCTGTTAGAAAACAGAAACTGTTTCTTAAGCCCCAGTCTACAGTGTTCTACTATGGCAGCTAAGTACAAGGTGGGTCAGAAAGGGAGCCTAACAGCGGAGAGCCCAGTAGGGCTACACCTCAGCCAGGAGCATCCCTGGCTCTTCACAGATATCTGCACTTGAAGGGACTCTGAAACCGTGGACATACTTCTAAAACCCAGATCTTCACATTCGTTAACTGTGACAGTCATCAGGAGCAGCAAGCATGGAAATGGGAGCACAGTTGTAAGGAAGAAAAAAAAAGAAAAAGAGGCCAATAGCCAAGCAGCATATGGCAAGAGCACACAGGAGGGGTGCTGAGTGGGAAGACGGTGCAGTGACTGAGTGCTGGGGCCAGGATCTCTGGCTCCTGTATTGAGATCTTTCTCTAAGACTTAATTTCCCTCTGAGGAAGCTCTACCCCACACAACCCCAACCCCAGCTGGCTTGAATAGCAACATTCACGTGCATTTTACCAAAGGTCTCAGAGTTTCTGGCCTCTGTACAGTTCTGATGACTGTTCCTTCCCCTGAGGCCTACATATAAAGTTTGCTTCCCTTGGTGGCAGCTTTGGTGGGGGGGTTTGCTATGGACTTTTAAGAGGTGAGGTCTATGGGAAGTCTTTAGTTCATTAGGCCTGTACCATCAAAGAGAATTGTAGGAGCCTGCCTTGTTCCTTTCCCTCTCTTCCAGTTCAAGATGTGGTCACTCATGATGCTCCACCCTCACCACAGCCCCAAACCAATGGAGCCACTGGATCTTGAATATGACCTCCAGAACCATGAGCCAAAATATACCTGTCTTTACTTCAGGAGTAGCCTGGCTCTTCATTAAGTAATAGCGATGGAAAGCTGAATGATACAGCCCTCCTTGAGCAGGAAGCCATTGTGGAGACTTCCAGTCAACATTCCAAGACCCAGTCTGTCCTAGGACATGCAGGAGGACGGCAAAGACAGTGTGCATTCCTTCCCAGATATGACCGAACACGGCCGGGCCTGGTACAAGCCTTCAGCCATGGGGAGACTGACAAGCGTACTTGGGTAACCATAGTACTTCTCAGGCTGAGGTTGAGGTCACTGTGCTGTCCCACAGCACGACCTAGTTTGATTCTATGTGATCTGCCTTGCTTTTCTTCCAAATGGAGGAAGTTTTTAGACTTGTTGAATGCATTTCTAACTTTTCAAAGGGGAAATTTCTTTGGAGACCAAACCCTCAGTAACTAAACTTTATTCTTATGAGTTCTTTGGTTCTGTGGCTCCAATTGCATCTGAACCCCTGTCCTGTGCTTGTGGATGTAACAACACTGCAGTTGCCAGTACAGCCAAAGCCACTTTCCTCTGGTTGTTCTAGTGTTTAGCTTGTGTCGGTGAGGCAGTGCGTAAACCCTTCCGTTTCCCCGGAAGTTCCCTCTCATTCACCTACCTCGAATGTAAGCGAACGCGGCCAGAGAGTTGCTGACAATAACCCCATTTTTCCGCACCACCCTCGATCCACTTGGGTTGAATTTTATACCTGAAACATGAAAAGGCTGTTTGTCAGAGTGGTGTCCGCCCTGAAAGCCCGGCCATCTTCACCCGGCCTGCCACAAGGATTAAAAGTCTCAGACATGCAACCGTTGGTTTCTGACTGAACTGTGGAAGACTCAACACTTAGTGCTGAGGCCTGAGTGTGAAAGGTCACGTGTCTGAAGACTTGGTTTCCAGCCGTCAGTGTGGCTTGGGAGATGGTGGAACCTTCAGGAATCGGATCCTCAGTGGAGGAAGTGGTCATGGAGGGTGGGCCTTGAGGTCTGTAACCTGGCCCCACTTCTTATGCTGGTTCTCACAATCCTGCCGCCATGATGGACTGCATGCACCCTTTCCTAAACCATGAGCCAAGTTGAATTCTTCCTTCCTCATGTTGCTTCTCTCGGGGATTTTGACCCAGTAACAAGAAAAGCAGCCAATGCAGAAGCTATCTCTGAAAATATCAAATGATTAAAGGGATCCAAAACAGTTCAAAGTGTCAATTCAAACTTCAGAGACCCCTGATCCAGGACAGAGCACGCTATTCCATTTCATAGGCAATGGCATCCATTTGGCCTTTAGGAAGCTGAGTAAATAATGCCTCAGTTTACCTTGGAAGTGCTGTCTGCTCTGTGGACCTGGGGTTGTGGAAGAAGGGCCATTGTTGGTTTGTTACATCACACACACACACAAATGTGAGACTGGCCTGCTTCCAGATGTGAGGGTCCTGCCTGATGGACACTTAGCAAGTATTGGATGGGCCAATATTGGAGCTCAGGGAGCCTGGACCATCACATGGAGCTGATGCCTCTAAGACGGGGGGGTAGGGATCCTTCAGGACCATGTGGGAGCAGAGATTTGCATGTATACAGATTTCTTTCTCTTCATTATTTCTTTTCAGCAGGATGACAGCTTACATGGCATTGATTTGGGGTTAAGAGCTGTAAGCAATCTAGAGCTTAACGCCTACAGGAGGACTGGGCGGGTTCTGTGAAAGTCGTTTTATTTACTGGGCTTGAACACCTGCTGATTTGAGTGTGAAAGGTTTTAGAACCATTCTGTAAGCTACAGAGGGACACCTAGAGTTTACTATCACAGTGGGCAGGGACATAATAAACAAAACAGTAGAACAGGACAAAACCCTTGCTACCTAAAGCTATACCTTAAGCATTCCATAGGGTCTCGGCAGTTTCTTCAGGAACTTCATGGGCTGAATTTGTTTATATGTCAATTAAAAAGAAATTCAGGCTGACATGCTGACATGGTGGGTGGAGGAACTTGTTGTTAAAGCAGATTGCGTCAGCTTGCGTCCCAGGACGCACATGTGAAAGGAGAAACCTGACTCTCACGAGTTGTCCTTTGACCCCGCCCCCCACATGCACATATTTGTGTGTCCACACCCACTTACACAGACACACATAAACATATAAATGTTTTAAAAATAAAATCAGAACATCTAAGTCCCTGTTTATATAAGTTAGGTGAGAATCAGGAAGAGAGTGGCCGGAAGGGCTGGCCCGGTCGGCTGGCTCCGCCCCAGCTCTGCAATGAGCTGCCTGTATCACCAAGAACCCAAGTTGTTTCTGAGAAGATCTGTTGTTCAAAGTGATTTTGGTATTATTTTCTTTTAGGAAGAAAAGGGGGAATGGAAGAGAATGGGGGTAAACTTATTTTACTTGTGATTTTAATTTTTTTTTAAGCAAATGGAAGCACCAGCCATAATGTTGGTGTCAGCAGAGCAGCCGCCACCTCTGTGGCCCCTTTCACTCCAGCCTTGTGTGCCTGACTGTGCTCAAGGGTCTGTTTGACTTCACCAAAAAGAGGTGCCGTCAGAATTACCGTATTCAGTGTCTTTCTTCACAGAAGGGTTCAGGTTAGCGACAGCCGGATCCACCGCTGTGAGTATGTTCTTGGGAACTAAAAGCAAAAGAGAAATATTTTATATTGAAAACACCTTTGAATTTAATATATATATTTAAGGTACAACGTAGATAAAGATTTACAAAATGCTTTCAGTAACTAACTGCCTGTCTCACGCACATGTGTACACACACACACACACACACACACAGCAATATGAGGCCAACAAATGCCCAAGCCAGGCAACATATTTGCACACACAGGCACATATTTAAAGGAGCTGGGATTGCAGACATGGCCCGGAGGCTGACAGTGCATTGACTGTTGCAGAGGAGCCAAGGTCGTTCCCAGCGCCACACTGAGCAGCTTACAACTGCCTGTAGGTCCAGCTCCAGGGGGCCACCTCCCTGTTCTGGTCTCTGTGGGCACCTATATGCACAGACCTCTGCACAAATATATTTTATGCACATATATAATGAACATAAAACAAATATTTTCTTTTAAAGGATCTTAAAACTGAGAAAGCTGAGGTAGCAGGGCTTCAAACTTGGAAGCTAGCTTGGACTACACAGCAGACCTGATCTCAAACAACGCAAATGGGGAAAATAAATAAACTGCAGTGCATTCATCTAATGGAAAATGTTAGTAATAAAAAGAGCACAAGAATTGAATCTCGGCACAGCATGCTCCGTGGGAGAGGCCACTCGCTATAACCCATCTATTGCACAATTTTATTCATGTGAACTGCCTACAAAGGTAAATCTAGAGACAGAAATGGATTAGTGGCTGGGCTGCAGAGCACTGGAAACTTTGGGAGGGGTCATGAAAATGTGGGGACCACTGCACAGCTCTAAGTGTACTGAAATCCACAGAGGTGTGTCACAGTGGCTGGGCGTCAGGCTCAAAGAGTGCCCCGGGAGGCTGTTGTGAGGGATCCCGATACAGTAAAGCTAACTGACCAGTCAGGGCCAGCTCCAACCCCCTCCTGCTTCCACTCCATCTTTTCTCTGACCCTTCTACCTTGCCACTTCATCATAAATTTAGAGGAGCCTAGCTATTTGGGCTCGTGTAATTCACTAAATATAAGAAAGAATGGTTCACAGACAATCAGAGGTTCAAGGTCATCTTTGGCTATGTAGAGGGCTCAGGACTATCCTGGGCTACCTGAGACCCAGAGAGATAGAGACACACAGAGATAGAGAGAGAGAGACAGAGACAGAGAGATACAGAGAGAAACAGAGCTTCGAGAAACACACTGCTGCCAAGTGGAGGAAAGGAGACGGTGCCAAGTATTGTAGCTGCAGAAAATTGCTTATTTTCATTTTTGCCTCAGCCCAGATGATATCTGGGGGAAGTGGCAACAGGAAGAAGAAGTGAAGCCAACACAAACTAGGCGAGAGCTGCAGCGCTGCTTTCACAGAGCCACAAGCCGTTCCCAGCTGCAAGAGAACCTTGTCTCCCTCTCTGAGTGCTTAACTGAATTCTTCTGGAGACATCCCAGAACCAACAAGCAGACAGCAGCCATACACTGTGAGCCTCCCAATCCAGGAGACCCTGATACCTTGGTGCCCATCAGGGATGAGGGCGGCTTTTCGAAGAGGCACAGTTCTGTGAGAGACATTCCTGGCTGGCAGGGCACTGCTCTGATCCCAGGACACAGCAATACTAGAACAAATGCTTTCTAGTTCAGTCACCTTTTGCTCATCCCTGAGCTCCAAGAAGGCTTTCCCTGATTCCCTGGCAGAACTAAAATCCTGGATAGGTTGTCTCTCCCTGCCAGCAGAGGTGTTTCTTCCTCAGACCTGTCCCTTGGCTCATTCTCAAAATGTAGCGAGATGAGCCTCCTGGCGTGTGCAGATGCCAGAGGCTTTATAGATTCAGAGTTGTAGAGAGAAGCTTGGAGAGGAAGGGCATTACGGGGATGCGCTTTGCCAGGCAACCCACCAGACCTATGTTGAGAGACATAGATTACCATGGAAACCTGCCTATTTAGTGTGCAGAAATGGTATGTGCCTGTAATTGTAGCACTTGGGAGGTAGACACAGGAGGATCAAAACGTCACAGTCATCTTTGCCTACATAGCAACGCCACGCCAGACTACGTGAGACCCTGTGAGACCCCGTTTTAAAACTTATTCTTCCAGCTGGGTTAGAGTGGATTATAGCGCTGACCATGTTCTTAAGCTGGAAATGGCTGCCTAATTTGATTGGCTGCTCTAAAAACAAACAAACAAACAAAACAAAACAAAACAAAAACATAGATGGTATGTTTGACCAGCCACTCCACAAATTTTATCTCCATAGAGCTGTGTCAACAGGCAAAGGCTAATGAACGGTACTCTGCAGGGAGGCATGAAGCTCTTCCTCCTTGAAACTTCCTGCCTTCCTTCCACCTCCACGCCCATTCCAGAAAAGCAATCAATGGGTCAAGAACACAGCCTGGACCACCACAGCACCCAGCAAACAGCTGCTGACGTGCTTTAACGTAGCTCCCGGAAGACAGGATACAAGTAGCGCAGGGATTTTGCTGGTTTCTAAGGACACCGGAATGGCAAGGGCGCTTGTTGTGACATGTGGGTGCCTGTGCGGCCTACATGCATGCTCAGGGCAGGCAGACACAACAGCTGTCAGTAGCACCCTGGGCTAGCCATTGAGGGCCTCTACATGGTACTGGAAGGCTATAAAGGAGCCAAATAGTACCTCTGTGAACTCACACGACACCGACACATTTCAGGGCTTCCTGAACCAAGATAGAAATCGTCCGTTCCCGGTGACCTCAGCTCTGTCCCCGGTTGCTTGTTCTGTCCCTCTCTCCACCCACTGCCAATCTGATTACCTGATGTGCTCTCGAAAGAAAACCCTGTTGCTTATCTGATGTGAATGCCATAAACAAGGATAATGGAGAGAAAAGTCTGGGGTATGTGAGGAAAATCGGAAGTAACCAGCTGAGCTGTGGGGCTCTTTCTGTCAGCAGCGAGGTGGGCTGGGCACCCTTAGGGGCAAGCACCTGTGTTAATGGACTCTCAGGGGGTCCGTTCCTTTAGTTTCAGCTAAAACTGTTGTGGAAAAGAGAAGCTGTGTACATTCAAATGTGCTCTTGTCTGTCGTTATTATTGTTGTTGTTTTGAGATAAGCACTTCTATGTAGCCCAGGCCAACCCTTGAATTACCTGAAAGCTGGGATTGCAAGTGTGCACTGCTTTGTCCACTTCCTGTCTGTCACCTGTGTGACATGAACTGAGCATGCCCAGAGGAGTCCTCATCACCATTTTCAGCTTTTACATGTCTATATTTCCTACTTGCTCTATGAACTTAAACTGCGAGTGCTCAGTACCGCTGACTGCCCAAGGTGCTTTCCTAGGCAAGTGTGTGTGCTTGAATGACGCTAGTGTACACCTTTCTTGCTACAGTCAATAAACCTCTCTCCACTTTTCTATCCCTTGGCTGTGCTTGTGGGCCATTGTCTGCCCACCGTGTGCAATTAAAGCGTCACACAGTCCTGTCCAGACATCGCCACCATTTCCCTACCAAGCAAGCGTTCATGGAGCTGGTTGAGGGTTTGCTCTTACCACAAGCGTAGGCAACAGTGAGGTATTTTCTCACCCCTGGAAGACAGGGGCTCCCGAAGTGGTAATTATCGACGAGGACCTTACATCTCTGCTTCCCATAGCACCTCCTGGACAGGACGTGTAAAGCTGTGTGAGACAGGCAGTCTGGAAGGGAAGGGGCAGGGAAAGCGTCAGGCTGGTCTGCGCTTGTCACCAGACACATTACAGCTATATAGAAATGTACAGAGCCATCACACAAGACCGTTTCTTGGCTGATCAGTCTCTCTGAATTACCCAAGAAGCTCTGCGCCAGCCTGGCCATCAGCCCCTAGGAAACCTCTAGTTAGACTTAAGGGCCTGCTGGCAGAATCTTGAAAAGCTGATATAGTCTTCATCATCAAAGCACCCGGGCACTTGGATGTTTGCCTCACATTGGGCTCTGCAGATCTGTAATTGCCGGGGGATACAGAGCCCATGAAATATACAGAGCACTGAGTAAGGCTCTTACTTATTTCACTGTCCACTACACCTGGAAATATTTGCCGTGGTTAAGACTTTCTTCTACATGCCCACAAGCCCCATGTGGAAGTGCCCATTATCTAATTCCCACGATCTGGCCCCGCTGCAGGACCTCAGTAAGCAACCGATGAACAGGTGGAAGAATGAACTGGGAAGCGAAAGGTCCTGCTTTCAGCACTCAGCCACAACTTCCCCGGTAGCTTGGGCGGGCTAGCTGTGCTGCTCCAATGGCCCCTCAAATGTCCATGCACTGGGGGGCTGAGGTGGCTCAGCAGTTAAGAGCTGTTCTCCCAGGGCATCTGAGTGCTTCCCAGCACCCACATGGAACAGCTCACGGCTGCCTGTAGATCTGGCTCGCAGGGATCTGGTGTCCTTCTCTGGCCTCCAGGGTAAATCATATCCAAGCACTGGGAGGACACACGTGAGTCCCTGGTGCTCACTGGCCAACCAGCTAGCTTCCTCAGCGAGCTCCAGGCTAGGGAGAGACCCTGCCTCAAGAAACAGGGCGGATGCATCTAGGAGCACCACCCGAGGTCGGCCTCCAGCTGACACACATGTGCACTCTCTCACACAGGCACATACATAGAGAAGATAACAGGCGGACCTGAAGCAAGCTGCTGGCTCTGCCTCCCCTCGCCAGCCCTGGGCCACACAGTGCAGGCCCTCAGACTCGGATGGGAGGGCCAGGGCCATTAGCTTAGACTTCTTAGCCCCCACATCTTAGGTCAACTCCTATTCTTCATGAGTTACCTGGTTCCTGCTCTTTCGATAACAGTAACAGGACGCTGACTGTGGCTAAAATCACAGACTAGCTCGTCTGCCGTGGTTAAGACTCCACACAATATCAGCATCAGGAAGAAGGCAGTAGTGACTAAGAGCATGACGTCAGGCTGGACAGTGTCCTTGCAAAGCCTCAGTTTCCCCACTTGGACAACAAATGCACTGGCTCATGGGCCGGTGTGACCACTGGCTGAAACCCTTCACAGATAGCGCTGGCACCTGAGGGACATGTTTGCCATCACTGTCATAGACCACCTGGTGTTAGACCGGCTCTTGAATGCCCTCCCACAGCCTCTGGGAGTGAATGGAGAATCACTGGATAGTGGCAGAGGCCATTGTGATTAGTGGGGAAAATAGGTTCCATCACCCCAACATACTTATTTTAAGGTCCCTCATGTTGAGAGTTATTATGGTTTTAAAATCGAAAAGTGTAAGTGAGCTTGCTTGGTTTAAAAACAAGTTTTTTGTTTTTTGGTTTTTTTGTCTGAGATGGCACCTCATTCTGTAGGCCTGGTCAGCCTTGAACTTACGGCTCTCCTCCTGACTCAGTCTCTGCCATGCTGAGATAATAAGGTGAGCCCCCATGCTTGGCCGCTTTCAGGATGTATTCCGCTTGTTTCATCTCTGAGACAAAGTTTCGATGTATATGCCAAGCTAGCTTAGAGCTGTCGAGGACCCCATCTCAGCCTCCTAAATCTTGGTATCATTGGCCTGGGCCATAAAATGAGCTTCCTTAAATGCAAAAATAACATCTGTGTTGAAACAGAAGCCAGTGTTCACATGGTGAGAATCTTCAGGTATGTTTTTAAAAATGTAAACGTTCCTGCAATATTACTCCAACTATTCTTGGTAAAACTTAACTTTCCCCAGATGCCACAGAGAGTTTGCCTGGGAAATAACTCCTCCCTCTCAACCTTCTTCCAAGTTACTTTCTTTTTGCTTGGTGGGTGCACAAGGCTGAGAAGACATATTTTTGTTGTCTTCAGCAACTTCATTATTATTTAGGCTTATGAGCTGAGCATATTTACCAATGGCTCAACAATAAAGAGTCTTTGCTGCTCTTCCAGCGGACCAAAGTTCGGTTCCTTTCCTCTCCAGACAACGCACATGGATATAATGCCTGCAGGGAGCCTGTGCCTGTGTGAGCTGCAGAATTTATCTTAGAAACTGGGTTTGTTTTTTTTTTTAAATACAACTCTTTTTTTTTCTTTTACAAAATACACATGAGTTCATTATTTTATGACTTCATATTTTAAAGTATAGATAAAGCAACGCTGCAGAGAAAAGTCCCCAGCAAATCCTGCTCTTGAGGAGGAAAAGCCTCCCGAACCTGTCAGTCTCTAAGGACATCTTTCTGAGCTGAGGGTGGGGCACACAGGCATGATCCCAGCAGCTGGGGGGTGGGGACAAGAGGATCAGGAGTTTGTGTCATTCCGGGGCTACATGAGAGGGGGCTAGAGGCAGATCGGCAGTAAGAGCACCTGCTGCTCCTGCAGAGGACCTGATTGTCTGCCCAGCACCCTCTCTGTGGCTAGCCACCCTCTGTAACTCCAGCTCCACGGATCCAATGCCCTCTTCTGATCTTCATGGGGACCAGGCGCACAAATACATATACATGCAAGACACTCACGTACATAAGCTAAGCTAAATACATCTAATTTTTTAAGAACACCTTTTGCCACTTTTCCCTGTGTAAAAATCCTCCCCCCCTCTGCGGAGTTGTGCATGCTTAACTTTGTGCGTGGCTCCTCCCCCTTCCTAATATATTTTCAAACACATACTCGTAAGCTTTATGTAATTTTAGATTTTTTATTTTGTATTACGTGTATGTGTGTAGGTCAGTGAGTAGGTTTGCACATGTAAGTGCTGGTGCCTGTGGAGGCCAGAGGTGTTGGGATGGTCCTGGAGCTGGTTTAACAGGTGATTGGGGATCTATTTGAGTCCTTGGCAAGAGCATACATGTGCTTAACCACCAAGTTGGCCCTCCAGCCCCATCAGCTTTGTTTTACAAGGCTGCCTTGATGGGGTTGGAGAGGTGGCTCAGTGGTTAAGAGCACTGGCTGTTCTTCCAGAGGACCTGGGTTCAAATCCTAGCAACCGCATGGCAGCTCACAACTGCCTGATGGCTGCTCACAACTGTCTGTAACTCCTGCTCCAGGGATGCGACACCCTCACACAGACATACATGCATAAAATTTAAAAGCAGGAAATGAAAAGCTGCTTTGATTTTCATCCACTTGTAAAACCCTGTGGGACAGTTAACATTTCTTTTCCATTTTTTAACACAATAAGCGATGTCATGTTGAACTTACTTAGAGCTAAATATTTGTAGGCAAACATGGGACTTTCCATAGGAACTCTTGGTCATAGATTATTCTGTCAAAGAGTGCCAAAACATGACCACTGTGGCACACTGACAAGCTATTATTTAGGAAAGTGGTACCATTGTGTACAGCTGACAGAAATGAATGTTCTGGAAAGCTTATGCTGTCTTAGAGTTACAAAGAAATAGCTCATTTTGTGTGGAGGGAGTTGTTCTTAGTATTTATTAGTTGTTATTGGTATTTTCTTGACCCAGGCTGGCATCAGACTCAATATGTAGCTGAGCACGGCCTTGAACTTCTGTTCCTCCTGCCTTCGTCTCCCCAAGTGCTGCTATTGTAGACATGCAGCACAGCGCCCAGAGCCTGAAGCATGCTAGGCAAGCACTGTCTAAGGGAGCTCCCTCCTCAGTCCACCCTGAACACAGTCTGTAAGACATTAAGACTATTGAGAAGAAAGAAAACAATCACCTAATCTAAGATTTGAAAGCCCCTGCTAACAGACTCTGAACACCATCCATTCTTTAGAGAGAGCTTACCTTGCCTCAGACACTTCTATCTCATAACCAGAGACTTTGTTTTAGCTGTGACCTCAGGAAATGGCCAAGGTAACTGAGGCCTGACTCAGGGCTGGCTGTGCTCCTATTGATGCTGAGCTCTGGGCCATTCCCAGGATTTTGTTTTTTCTTTAAAGGTGGTTATTTCCCCGCCCACGCGGGTTTTGCTTCTGTCGCTGCCAGGTTCCCTCCTCCCCGATACATGTGATAACAAGATATTCGACCATTTGAATTCTTAACTTTTTGGCAATTGTTTAACACTATGACTGAAGTTAATCACTCTTGCAAGCCAGTGTTTATTTAGATAATTGGGCTGGCTGCTCTTAAGTGGCCCTGCCTTGGCAGTGGAGAGTTCCTGGCACCTTGATCTTGGCTGAAAAGCCCAGGCCTGCCTACACTTGGCCTTGGGACAGCCTCAGCCCAGCCTTTGAGGCCTATTGTGTGGTTTCTCATTCTCTTATTAAGGAAATAGCAGAATCCCTGGAGCCCACCCAGAAAATGTGGCCACAGCAGGAAATGACACCCGTAGCGCAGGCCCACCCTGCTGCCCAGTTCTCTGGGAAGGTTCCCCTCTTGGCTCCAGTGGAAGGGCTGCTTTGACTGGTGCTCACAGGACCTGTCACTCCCCTTTGAACTCACGCCTTTTCTTGCACTATCCACTCCCCCAGATGAATTTCAGTGGTAACAGGAATGCCTCTGGCTGGGCCACCCTCAACACCAAGAAGAACCCAGACCTCAGTTGGTTTGCCCCCACAGGATTGTAAGCTGTCCCCTTTTGTGGTCACTTCTGAACTGTAACCACCTGCTTAGATATTCGCCTGCTGTGGGGCAGCAGCAATGCGTCCCCAGACTCACACCAGAGGCAGCAATGCGCCCCCGGACTCACACCAGAGACAGCTATGCGTCCCCGGACTCACACCAGAGGCAGCTATGCGCCCCCGGACTCACACCAGAGGCAGCTATGCGCCCCCGGACTCACACCTGAAGC